CTCGGCGTGATAGACGGAAGTCCGCCCCTAACTCCATCCGATCAAGGTTTGTGTAGCTTCAACGAGTGACCTCGGAGAGATGGAAGCCGAGCCGGTTGGAAAAGCCCAGATAAATCGGGTCCGATTGTACCAGTAAGTATGCGATAGGTCAAGATCAGGTCGCCTCGATGACGACGATGATGCATTGAGAACATTCCCAGCTCAAGTAGTCTTTCTGGGTAAGAAAGGTTCCGTAGTCCATGCGCCATTTCCGTTCAAACTTTCAACACTCCACTGACATCTTATCCGTGACTAAGCAAGGTAGACAAGCCTGGGTGCAGTATTCCAAGTGTGGCCTGACAAAGGTTGAGAATAGCTTAACAAACATATCGCCCTTGATGGTCCCGAATGCCATGCGGATCATCCACAACCTACTGAAATCCTTGCACGTAGCTTTCCTCCAATTCTCACTGGATTTAAGTTCAGAAGACGTGACCCCTAGGTCTACCAGTTGGGAAACATGGTGTAGTTCATACCCGCCAAGCATATAACGCGTTTGGGGGCCATTTGGCCCTAATCGTAAGATGGAACACTGCATAATTTATGGGCAACTGTCACAGAGCAGCCCAGTCTCAAAGTTTATCGAGGACCCGTTGCAGAGTCTGGGGTTCATCGAGGTCGGACACTGTGTTCCAAAACTTTAGGTCATCTGCAAACATGAGAGATGGTACCCCCACCAGTTCGGACAGCTTATTGACATACATAGAAAATAACTGGGCCAAGCACCGAACCCTGAGGGACCCCGCTAAGGACTGACTAACGGAAAGAGACTAGACACAACACGAACGCTCGTCTCTTTCCCTTCCAGAAACGTGGTGATCCATTGTAGTGCACGCCCTGATGTTCCATAGGACCGAAGCTTCAAGGAGAGACGAGAATGTGATAGTGTCGAACGCCTTAGAGAAGTCAATAAACAGTACATCTACTTCATGACCCCGATCCAAAGCATCCGCCGAACATTCGCGTGCAAATATCAAATTACTCATGCAGGAGTGACCCGTCCGAAAGCCGTGTTGATGTAGACTGAGCAGACCAAACTCCCGCAGGTGGTTTTCAAGCACATCATCATCATTATACACGTTAGATATAGGTCGGAAACACCTCAGCTACTGTGCCGCAATACCCAAAAGAAAAGAAGGGAATAAAATGCTACAGGTGCAAGTCAGCTGAGCTACCGGTAACGGATGGGCATCGTTCTGGTAAGCTACCTGTCGGCTGCTATGCAGCAGAAAGAATAATTTACTATGCAAAATTATAAAAGCCCACAAAGAGATCGCAGTCGGAGGGGAGGCTAAGAGAGATGGGGTAGGACAAAGGAACTCAGCACGAACGCCACTGAGGTCGGCTCCTAGCCATATCAGCAAGTGTATCCAGCCAAATGTGTTCATCTTTCGGACCTCAAACTGGGAGCGGAGACGATCTAACTGAGGCCAGCTTCGAAGTGAGAGCCTTCATTCCTCTCGGCCAAGTCATCGCTTGACCACCTCTTTTCTTCTTCCATCCACACCCCCGGCACGCAAACGACACACGTCGCGGGAGTCGGTGGGCTGGCATGCGTAACACGTGGCCCAGCCATCGGAGGCGTGGTGCGTGAAATAACGGTGCTGAGCGATTTATTTCCTTTTGCTGTGCCGTAAACAAGGCGTCGAACACGCTCGTTGCTCACGCGGTGTTCCCACCAGATATGAGCTAAATTGCGAAGGCACCGGTGTTCGAACGTAACTATCCTCTTTATGTCCGCTGATCTAAAGGGGCCAGGTTTCACATTGGTACAGCAGAGTCGAACGTACCGCTGCATTGTACACTCTACCCTTCAGGGCGAGAGTGATGTCGCGCCGGCGCCATAAGTGGCGAAGGTTAGTAAAAGCGCCTCGAGCTTTTGCTATACGGTTCGCGATCTCATCTTCAATCCCACGGGCGCTGATACAACTTCCCAGATAGTTGAATTTTTGGACGACTTCTAGCTGATCCCCACCAAGGGTCAGCGAAGGAGGCGGTCCAGGCCAATCTTGGAGGAACGCTTTGCACTTCGATGGTGCAAAGCAAAGCCCGAAGCGGTTGACAGCCAGTGCTAATCTATCCAGTGCGGCTTGGCACGTCTGGAAGCTGTCACAGATTAGGGCAGTATCATCAGCATACTCCAAGTCAAGAAGTCGTTCTTCTGGGAGCAGATCCACACCTAAGTCGCGTCCTGTGAACACGATTTCCATGACTTCGTCAACAGCGAAGTTGAAGAGGAAAGGTGACAGCGGGCATCCTTGTCTCACGCCGCTGGAGATATTAAAGGGTGACGACAGCTGGCCCTAAGCCCTCACTCTGCCTGAGCTACGCGCGTATAATGCTCGGATAATATTTACATATTTCTCAGGCACACCTTTACTAGATAGACAGTCCCAAAGTGCAAGTCTATCCACCGAATTGAATGCACCTTTGATGTCGAGGAACACGACGACGGTGGGCCGCCAATATGTGTGACGGTGATTCAATAACTGAGGCAATGTGAAGATGTGGTCAATGCAGCCACGACCTCGACGAAACGCGGCTTGCTCTTCATGAATATGGCTTTCACGAGTGCCAGTCAGCCTGTGAAGGATGACAGAGGCAAGCAATTTGGAGGCGATGGAGATCAGACTGATGCCTCTATGGTCGCCGCATTTCGATCATGAGCCTCCCTTGAAAATTCGGACTATGACGGAGCGGCTCCAGTCGGTTGGGACAGTTTCCTACTCCCATAGTTTCACTAGCAACTCGTATAAATCATCCAAAAGAGCAGGTTCCCCGAATTTGAAGAGGGCTGGAGGTAGATCATCTGGTCCCGCGGCTTTATTTAACTTAACAGTGCGAACTCACGTTCGACTTCTGCACGAGCGGGTGGATCCAAAGGGACAGCCCAGGGAGCGGGGCGATCAGTGGTCGGCGAGAAATCTAACAATCCCGACCGATTAAATTGCCTTTCTAATGCTCAGCCCAACGCTTCAAGCGTTTTGACAAGTTGTAGATAGGCTGTCCACTCTCGACACGTATAGTTTCACTAACACCAGGTCTTCTGCTGCCCGTTCTTCGTATCAGCCGGAATAACACGATGGTTACCAAGGGCAGCGGCCATTTCCATCTCTGATGCACGATGAGACCACCAGGCTAGGACAGAGTTTTATCTGGAGCTGTTTGCGAGTTTCATTGTGTTCGCTTCCAGCCGGAATATGCCGACGATTATCGATAGGTTCCAGAGACTGCGAAGGGACCCAGTGTCCATGTTGGCGATTAGACTTACCACATGAGGATTTTCCTGCTGCTAGTAAGGACTAGTGAATATGACACCAGTGAGCTTCAGCTGCATCCAGTGAGCGCTTACTCAACTCGCATGACAACGTACTTTGATAAGCATTTTTAACAGCTGGTTTCGCCAGTTGGCTGGTGTCAGTGTGCTCACAACATCGTCTTGGGCGTCCTCCAAAACACTGTTTGGTGGTCTCCGGCTAATCTGATCCAATACAACGTTCTGAATCCAGGGGAAACCATTACGTCAGAGAATCATTGTTAACAGATTGCCGAAATGTACCAAAAACTCAACACGTGCTCAGCACTGGTCAACAGAAAGGGGCCACTTCTTCTTCACGATAACGCTCAGCCGCATGTCACACAACGAACCCTGCCAAAGCGGCACGAAATGTGATACGAGCATTTGCCTCATCCACCATACTCCTCTGACCTCTCACCTACTGATTACCACTTTTTCGAGCCCCTGGATAATCTCTTTCTAGAAAACGTTTTAAAACCCATTGAGATGCTGAAATCGCATTCGACCAGGTCATCGCCACCAAAACTCCGGAACTTCATTCGTCCGAGGTAGGTAAACTTGTTTCCCGTTGGCAAAAGTGTAGCAATTCAACTGGCTTTTATTTCGGTTTAAAATGTTACGCTTGAGCCAAGATTATAATTAAAAACTCCAGTAACCTTTTTAATAACCTAATATATAGGTAACCCTGGTCTTGGTCACAACGTTTTACTGAGGTAGCGGTGTTTACAGAGGCTTTCCAACTATGCTACTTGTTCAGTCACATTTCGGGACCGCACAGTTTTCGGTGACAATTGTACCACAAAAATAGCTGATTTAGGCTATACGGACGATTTTATTTCACAACGGGATAGTGGAAATCTAGTATCAAGTGCCTCTAGCCCTAAAGTCTACCGCACAGTCGTGAAAACGTTAATCTACCACTAATTATGTTCATAAGCGGTGACTTGTGACCAAAAGGGTTGAGCCTTGGTGTACCTGTTTGATCCATCTGGATGGATAATTCTGTGTACATTGCACTGGTGAAGTAGAAAGCCATCCAAAAATGAAAGAAATATTTGTTGTGCTTCTTTTTCCACTGCAGTATTACGGTGAACGCGAGCTTACTTGTGTGCCACTGCAAATGATGCCATTATAGGTTTGTCGCTTAGTTTCGGAGCCTTTTGCGGCACAGTAGCTGAGGTGTTCCCCACCTCTAGCTAACGTGTATGATGATGATTCGGAGCCTTTAGGAATAGATAGGGTCAACAGTACTGATGTTTTGTTGCTATGCACTTTGGAGAGGTTGTACACAAGACAGGATGCCGCTAGGACGCGGAAGCCTAGGTATGAACTGGACTGGAACCCGGAGTCGGACTTCTGATCCACTACACTAGGGAACCCCTGCGGTTGGCAATTCGAATCTGCCTGGAAATATTCAATCCTTTAGCACAACAGTTAACATTTTTTAAAGATGTCGGGTCATGTGGGCGCATTTTTTCTCAGTAGCTTTGTCCGATGTCGACATCGACCTATGAGTTTCTTCTTTATCTTATTTTCACTGTAAGAAAAAGCTTATTGGTAGTCTGAGTGGTTCCTTCGGACTCGTGAATGATCCATGAGATGTCTAATTTGCATTTGATGTTTCTTTATTCAGTAACTTCCCTGGATGTGTTGCTTCTATCCAGGTAGGTATCCTCCAAATGTCTATGCCTTTTGTCCTACGAACTGCTTTCCTCGCTACTCGTCGTTTTTTCGTATTACAACTTCGGAGAAAATATGCCGTTGTGTTTTTTCCTTCTGCGCTTGGTACTGTTGGTTTTGCTCTCGCTGGTTTCTCTCAAGTACGTAAGGTTCTCGCTGAAACCACTCCATCGCAAGAGAGCCATCAGGATGCTATCACGCTACCTGAACTGCAGGTTGGTTGTGTGCTATTCTCAGCGCTTTTTTAGTCTTGGCATTACGAAAGATTTAGCGGCTTTGCTTCTCTAGAATTCGATGGCGAACTCTTTTTATCCCCATCGGACTTTGTCAGATGCGCTTCTGGTGTCACACAATCACGTAGGGGGTCTCAGCGGTTTCAAGCTTTTTTGTAGACAAAGTCAAACGTCGTGTGCTTTCAGAATCTGAAGTCAAGCATATGATCCGTAGTACTCCATCATTATCGCAATCCACTCCCTTCCTTTTCCGTGACCTTGGATGCAACGGCATCATATCTTTCACAGAATACCTGTTCTTGATATCCATACTAACCCGTAAGTCTCTGTTTGTGTTACACGTTTCCACTTAGATCCCCGAAGTAATCTTCATATCGCTTTCAAACTTTTTGACAGAGATTGCAATGATCAGGTCGATCTGGCAGAATTTCGAAAGGTAACCTCTTAATTTGATGCTTGACTTTTCCTCTTTTCAGATTACTTCAATTTTTTCTTGTTATTATGCCGGAAAAACCCACGGAACTCTGGAGGTTTGGGTTTTGTACATGCATCCATTTTCCTAGGTGTCAGAAGGTATCCAAACCACCTTGAGTAGGCATCTTTTCGGAAAATCTGGTACCAGTAAACTCAAGTTTGATGACTTTTCGAGGTAATTTGACTCACCGCTTACGGGGTATCTTTCAGGTTTGTGGACAATCTGCAGTCGGAGGTTCTCCTTGTCGAGTTTAACCACTTCGCAGCTAGCCAGCGGACTATGCAACCTATAGAACTTGGTCGTTCTCTCATACGTTTCGCCAAATTGACATCCACAGTGGAAGAGCGTCTTTCTAAACTAGAAGGTGATGCCTCACTTACGGGAAAGGTGACATTTCTCCTCTTCACTCCATAACTCATTACTTTGCACAGACAATTGATTTTGGAGCGTACAAAGCTCTGTTCAACTTTTTGTATGTTATCGATGACTTTTCATCTGCCCTTCAAATGTTCATACTCGCCAAAACGAGCATCTCTAAAAGTAAGTTTTGCTCTGTCGGCTTGTGTCCACATTATTTTAACTACTGAACCTTAAGGACCGGGCAGCGTAAAATATGAGCCTCCACACCGAATCAACAAGACGAACGGAATTAATTCCAGGGATAAAAAGGGTCATGCCATAGGTCATTGGGTTCGTTAAAACGGCCATTTTTAATCTTGGGGCGATCGATTTAAGGGAGCGGTGCTTGATTATGTTAGGTTTTTCTATTATTAGGCACTTGGCAGTAAAATGCAACTTAACTAGTAATATGTCCCTCATAACTACAAATAATTGCACGATTATGCCATGATCCATTTCTCATGGGTGGCTCATAGTTTAAAGGCACCACTGATCTTCCAATCGAGTAAAACTGGGACGGTGTTTCTGTAGCGCGCAGCAACCTCGTGTTTGTGTTGTTGCTCCTATACACGTGACACAGCATTTCTCGTTGTTCACGTGGCCTCCTCACGGAAGTTGGCGTGGACCTCTTAAGTGACTTACCGTATTCAATTACATCCTCTTGATTATCGCCTGTCTTTTGTGTATTCACGTCTTGCAGAGGTAGGCGAGCACAGACATTTCCTGATAATGTGTTCACTTTACTTGATTAGACACGTTGCTTTTACCATGCAACATCGCTCACTTTATCTGACGCTTATTTGTGAGCTTTCACTTAGGTTTTTGACATTTTATTCCGTCAGTCTAGTTACAAGGTTACTAATGCTGTCCCTCGCATAGCACACGCAATTATCAAGCGTTTTGTCACTTAAGAGACCCTCGTCCGCATCGAGAAACTATTCCTCGACACTGTACCGTCAACAGGATGCAGATTCGGTAGCGTTTATTGGAGTGACACTCACTTCTAATGGCATTTTTTCCAGCTGTACGATTTTGCATCTTTAATGATGTTGCTTGAAAACATCCGCAGTGGATATTGTGATGTGCTTATATTGGCTTCACTTCACTTGACTAGATTTTCGTGCGATATGTCTGAATGAGGAGACCCACTGCTTCCTTCAGATATCTTTGAATTCACTTACCCTGATGAATATTAAGTTTCCAGTTCGTGGCGCACTGCGTTCCGTCTAACAAATACTGGGTTATGATTGGCCGTAATGAAGTCGAATCTGGTATCCTTTCACTCTGGGATTTTATAGCATAGCATCACCTTGGGGCGCCGATTGGCTGTATGGAAACAACTGATCGATCCGCAACAGGTTGTAGCTATCAGTGAACATCCGCTGGAAGTGATGGGTCGATTCACTTACCTTTGTAGCTGTATTCACATTGCTGAGAAAGTTAATTTGCCTATCAGCATGACTCGTGTGGCTCTCACGGGTTCAACCATATAGGGAGACAGCGGATATTGGCCTGTCAGTGGAAGGTAGCGTTTATAACACTATGATAAGGTTAGTGTTACTTCGTGGGTCAACAACTGGCCAGTTCACATTAGCGACACTTACCGCTTGATCGCGTTTGATCACCGGTTCTTGCGGAGTGTCGCTCAAATCTCGTGGGTACACCGAGTGAGCAATGTTGAGGTCCTCCACTTGGTTTTTGGCAAGAAGCCTTCTGGCGCCTCACTCGAGTGTCTGTTGAACTCGTACGGCTTATTATAGAATTGAATACCGCTAGCTCAAGTTGTTCAGATGGCGGTTGAACGGTTCTCTGAGCTTGGCACTTGTCGCAAACGTTTCGTCACTAATCGAGGTGATATCATCAATGCGTAGTTGCGTGACGTGCAGTAGCCTAGATTAGGGTAGTGGAAGCTCCTCACTGGATACATCACACTTCGACCCGCGGATCATAGTTGTTTAAACTGAACTAAAGCTGTGGGTTTTACGAGGCTACGGCCAGACGGTAGAAAAACAGAAAAGCCTGTCTGCTGGCTATTTATTAACTATCCTTTGCTATAGTTCTTGTTACAACCTCCTCCCACTTTATTCTTCATCTAGTCGAGTTCCAACGCGCTGCTCGTGCTGTTACTGGAGCATTTCTGGACCCTGTGGTTGTGGACACCATCTTCGTCCTCTTCGACGCCGATGGAGACGGACACTTGAGCTCGGCCGAGTTCATCGAGGCGATCCGTGCTCGCAGTCTTGGTTCCCGCGCTTCTTTGGTAGATATTTATTAGCCCTGCTTTTTGATACTCGTTTGATTTAGTTTCCTGTCCCTATCAATTTGATTGCAACATGTGTGATTAGTAGTCAACATCTTTCATTTAGGATACCCCCTACTTTGTACGGATGGTGGCATCGGTTCTTCTTCGGATAAGATGTAGACGCAACAATACTCATCATGCTTCCTCAATCTCCCCACAAACATTTTCTGATTCGCGTCACACTTGCCTAACACATAGTTGTTTTTCAGTTTTCACCAGATACCCAAACAGTTAGCGAGGACTATGAACGATCACGTGAACCGCAGCAGTCACGCATTTGGTAGACAACTAGCTTATAAGTAAACTAACCTTGTGTACCCCTCGCGCGTTAAGTTTCTAATATGAGAACTAATCAATGGTACGTACCATCAATGTTATTTTACATGTTCTGCTTCATCATAAGGCGTTTTATGAGGAATAGTAGGTCAGTTTTACTACAGGTTCGCTGTTTGACTCCTTGCAGCTTAGCTGATTTCGGCTTGATCCATTTCTCTATTCCGAATATAAATCGACTTAATGAGGTCTACGTTTCGCATGTATGTTTTTTGACGTCGAGCCAATTGTGTAAACCGCCGCGATACCGAATTCAACGATGCATCGCAATTTCCACCTGAATTCGGTTGACGAAAAACGCAACGCTTATTCATTTTATCTGAGCTTGTTTAAGGCTGTTTACCGATCATTTAATGAGTGATATGCGATTCTTGGCTGTTATGCACGAAGAGGTCAACGACGATGATTTGGCATTATCGAAAGGGAAGTAAGTCGCTCATCTGTAAGGGTGGATAGGAAAATTTGAGCACTCTACTTGTAACCTGATTTACAAGGCGCGAAAATGGGTCTGATGTCAGTTTTACTGGTTCTAGTGGATGTGGCGAAAAATGGCGTAAGTAGTATGTCAGTACGCCGTACCGACGCTTCAGTGCCACGCAACCATTAGCATTCGCGCGAGGGTCGCCCCGTCCCCTACGCAGACTCGAACCTACGATCTCTGGGTTGCTAGCTAGACGCCTTGTCCTTTCGGCCACAGGCCAGCTGGAGGTGGAGAAATTTGATGCTGCTCTCCCATGGTTTATTCTACAGTATGCAAAGAGAGAGGTAAGGGTCGCATGCAGGACAACTGGTGCGTATTCTTTTCGCGAAGGTCAGGCCTATAGATAAAGTGTCTACAGTCTTTCTTATTATCAGCGTTAGCTAACTCGGCTGCTCACTGTCGCGATACTGATAGTCAATCAGGTACTCGGCTTTCGCATGTAGAAATAGCCTGATTGTTTTTTCTATCGCCTAGGTCTGTTGAATGTTTCGTTTGGCTACGATGTAGTATGGATCTGAAGGGTGGGAGGGGGGTTAAATGCGGGTCGCCACTGTTCACGCACAATAGTATCTTACCCGCTTTATACACTCATTCACAGCTCCATTTCGAGAGACCTCACACGAACTACGATTGCATGAAGGGATGGCATACTCTGCACGTATTATGCCGCCTTCTGACTGAGTCCACCTGTACTGGACTCTGCTTGAGCTTCGTTTCTTCGGTTCATCCGGGCTACTGAACTCGTAACCCAATGAAGCGACCCAGAATTCGGCTCCTGGACGCCTAATCACTTTGACTAACCAGCAGGGGCTGTCTTTGACACACCGGAGCGGCACACTTGAACACAGATAGGGAGTAGACAAACAGCTGTACTGGGTTTGCGTATGTGTTTGTATGATGCAGATCTGTCACGCAGAGGATCCAACATATGGATCTACCTAGCTCACTTACGCAGGCGTCCAAATATCAGATGCTTCATTAAAAAAATGATATACAGCGCCACTGCTTGGCGTGTTATTGGATAATGTCAGGAACCTGAACGCTACGTCCTGAGGACATTCGGTGATTGGCCGTGTTTGATCACCGACTCCCACGCGGTGTAGCTCACATCTGGTGAGAAGCAGAATGGAGTATAAGTCGTTTGGTGCTTGGTAACAAAGCTGTGAAGGCGGGCGGCGCGAACAAGTTATGTACCGAAGAACGTATACATGACATAACATTTCGAACATAGAACAGTCGGACTCATCTGCGTACATCATTCGTTTTGCCTTTTGATTTCCCGCTGCACTTTGTGCTACCGACTCAACGCAATGAATATATGATATAGGTTCAACGCCCTTGCGCCACACATTTTCACGACTAGTTGATTCATGCACTACGCGCCCGTCGTCCGCGGTGATTCATTATTTGCTGAATTCATCGCGCCTGCTCGTTTCCCCTTGCTACTCATCAGTAGTGCGCCACAAGCCTTCTATGCCTCATCAGAGTGTCTGTTAAACTCGAATTGCCTCCGGCGCGTCTGGCAGGTTCTCTACATGCTTGCCAATCGATTACCTGTGTATGCGTAGTTTTCTACCGTCTCGTCAAACTGGATGAATTCCCGAGGCGGTTAGTCAATAACGCGGAAGATTAGTAGCATATGGGTCGACACTGAAGATCTGGTTGGGGTTATTGTTTGTCGCCTTCCTCAGTTTCTATAGGATATGTCATATTCACGATTTCAGCGGAACTCATGCACGGGTTCCATCTTTCCGGCCCCTACTTGTTGTGCTAACCACATGGTTGCATTAAAACTTCGCGCCAGATACCTTATACTAATCTCCAACTCCACCATTTTGTTGCGTGTCGGTTGTACAATGTTTTGTCGGCGACACAGTTATCAGATGGCAGTTCAGTTCGCTATCCTAAGAGACACACGCGATTCCCCCAGAAAAATGACCGTTATCTAAATGGGAATGTATGCTGCCTTTCGGGATCTATGCCCATCTACCTATCAATATCGTTATCCAAAAGCAATTACCTTTGTCTGACGATGTTAACCGCTACAAATACGAAGAAGTACAATTGCACTGTTTTTGCTACAACTTCATCAGTACAGGCCGTCACACTAACCACCGCTTGTCTCCTTTGAATTTCTATCAAATTATTATTATCGCTGCTGTTTTGTCGACATGAATCAAGTCGAATCGATCTTTTTCATCTCGGTTCGCAGACTTTTATTGCTTAACCACACGGTATGCCGTTTCCCGATTTTTAGCTTAGCATTTATTCTATTTACACTTATTATTTCACCTACCTATTTGGGTAACTTCACATTCGAATTGCTTGTCCCTTTTTTCCGATTTCGTATTTGTTCATAGAATCACAACAAATCTCGGTTAGAGGCCTTCAGGCGTTGCGTCGGAAGACAGCTCTATCACAGCTGACTGATCGCTATGTGAATATTCTTGATGAGTTAATCCCAGCGACTTCTTCCCTGTGTCGTATCCGGAGCTGTGCGAATTGGAGCATGCACTAACCTCACCACACTTGTACATATACCGAAGTATGAACGCAGTCTTTCTCCATAACAGCAATCGTGCTCTTGTCGTATCATACTTAAAGCCTGAATTTATTGTATTTCCTTTCTTTTTTCTTTGGCTACTTCGCACTCTTCCCACTTCTTTTACATGCATATCAAATGTGGTTTCACATGCTTTTCGTCTGTGGTTCACAGTCACGAAATAAATGAGCTCCGCAGCCCACTTCCATTCTCCTGTTTCACCTTTACATAACCTCCTTTCAAAGAATTGTGTACAAGTAAGGGAAGCAATTGGATATTGGTGACTGGTTTGTTCTTTAGCGCATATATCCGTTGTGTGTGTGTGTGTGTGTGTTAACAATGTTTCGTCGCGTTCCATGAGCTCGTCCTACGTGCACAAAACTCCATAACATCCCTGCAATATACATTTTGTTTACGTAGTGGCCTGTCCCTGTCCCTATTTCACTTAGAGTCTTTGACCCAGCAGGTCTAGCCACACCTGACCGACAAATTCCCAGTTTTTTCCTTGCCACTGCACTATTCTGTGTACAGTGACTTGATTTCTGAACACGTTACACCTTGTTTCAAGCCTCTGGCTTAGCGTGGTATATTCCCATACCTTTAGCTTCCATGTGACTGGTTCCAAGACAACCTGTGCTTGTAAGTAGTAGGGGGATTTATTGGGTATTTTGTGAAGCTTTGTCGCAGTTAGACTCAGAGAGACAGCCACTACGTATCCAAGAAAACGTTAGACGGTCGTTTCGTCCTATTGGGACTCGTCAGTAGCGCGCACCCGTCGAATCCTCCCGGATTTGAACCCACCACCTTACCCTTGCGAACCAGCGACTTATACCTTTGAGCCATGGGCGACGGCATCGGACCGCATTCACCCCACCTTGTAGCCAGGTGTGAGTCTGCCCATAATTGCTTTGCTCTGGGATGCGGCTCCGGGGTCGATGCAACCCGGATGGATAATACTAATCGATTCTTGCAACCATATGCCAATCACGGTTTTGATGTTAGCAGCACTGCTTTCCATTATAAGCGGTCATACCGTGTCACCTGGTGCCCACATGATTCCACCATAACCTGGACCCACCTGATCCACGAAGGTTCAAGATCGTCACTGAATTTTGTGTGTGTGCCTGAATTCCTACCACGCTCCACTATTCGCACGCGTGGTGTTCATTTTTCTGGCTTACTAGTAATGCTCAACTTGTAACCTGTACTCAGATTTCGCAATCAAGCAATTGCACCATGAATTGCCTGACCGATTGTCAGTGATGAAGCATCTACTTCAACACACGTTAATGAAAAGCGAAAGACCCTTCAGCTATTATGTCGCAAACAAAACAATACCGCAGTTGTAAGAGAAGGAAAGAGGCAGAAGTAAACCAACAGACAATAGTAGGCCTTCTTTTATTGCTCATCAGTACAGCGATTCTACTTGGAGGGGATGATAAGGGTGTGGGACATTGAAGTTCACTATGCATACGCCACGTCGATCGGCTGATGCGCTAGTCAACCAGTGTCTCAAGCCCAACGAGTTCATCGTTTTTCTGGCCCCAAACAGGCCATCGACTGACATCAATCGGAGTTGAACTCGAACTGAGAATCTTCATTCCTAATCGAGTCATCGGCTAGCCTCCCATTCTCTTCCATCTAGGTCCCGGTCGTGCAAAAACGCACCTCACATCAGTCCATATGTTTGTATACGCAACATGTGTGCTAGTCATCGGAGCCTGGTATGTTGAGTAACGGTACTGGGCGGTCTACTCACTTTGCCTACACCATAACCAAGACTTCGAACACTGCTCATTTCTCACGGTGCTTCCGCTAGACATGAGCCAAACTGCCAAGGCACCGGTGGTTGAGCGCAACTAGTGTTTTTACATCTGACGATCTAGTGGACCAAGTTTCACAGCCGCACAGGAGGCTTTAATCGACGGCTGTATTGTAGACTCTGCCTTTCAGAGCGAGAGTACTGTCGCGTCGAGGCGCCACATATGAAGATAAGCAAAATGCGACTCGGCTTTTGTATACGCTTTGTGATCTCGTTTATTCCACTGGCGCCGATACAGCTGTGCACGACTTCCGGCTGATCCCCACGATGGGTCGACACATGGGTCAGTGTCTAGCAACCTTGAGGAAGGGCTTTTCATTTGAAGAGCGCGGAGCACAGCTCGAAATTATTAAAAGTCAGTACTGATTGGCTGTCACAGGTGGAGGTAACATCGTCGACATACTTTAATTCAGAAAGCTAGAAGTAGCTCAAAACCGATCTGGCCACTGAACGCAGGGCCTATAGCTTTGTCAGTAACGAACCTAAAAACAAAAGGGTATCTTTATCTCACACCGCTGCGGACTTCCGTTGGCGGCGATAACTTCCCGTCAGCCATCAGTCTACTCAAACTATTCCTGTAAAGCGCCCTGTTGATCTTTGCTCATTCCTCTGGGTCACCTCTTTTGATCAGTCAGTCCCAAAAACATGGATCCAACAAATTGAAGGCACTATTGATGTCGAGGAACACTATCATTATGTATCGGTATTATGCTTGACGGCATTCCGGTGGCGCGTGAATAGAACATATGATCAACCCAGCCTCGACCCTGTGTAACTCGGCTTACTCTCCACGCCTACGCTTTTTAGAAATACCTGTTAATCTACGAACATTGACATGTGCGAACATCTTAGAACTAATGGAGATCAGACTGACGAATTTAAGATTGCCGCATTCCGAATGTGATCAGATCCTTGAAGATTTACACTATAACAGCAACTGCTATAATTTGAACTGTTTCTTGTTCCTACTGTTTAAGTAATGTTGCAAATCGTTACAAGAGATAGTCTTCAGAATTTGAAGAGGGCTGTGGGAAGCTTAGTTAACATTGACCTTTTACATTTCAGCAGTCCGATCTCACCTTCGAATTTTATGCTAGAGGGCAGATCCAAAGGTATGGCCAAGGAAACAGAGCATATAGTTTCGCTAACACTAGGTCTCATGCCACCAATTTTCCGCGCGGAACGGTATTACTTAAATAAATAAACGGTGAATTTCTTGGGATTGCGTGGCACAGGCTGATTACGTGGCCTGGTCATCTTGTACAGCATAATCGAATAGTGGATAAAGTTGTCCGAGTTTTACGCTAGTCCCAATGGAGTGTTAAGTTAGTGCTACCACTTAAAAGTAACAAAAGAGAATTTGTGCATAGGAATCTATGTAGGTACAGCCGGCTGTTCAAGTAAAGCAATATCTCCATCTATGGAACCATCTCTTGGGGATCTGCTTCCACGCGAGATAATCCTTCTAAAGGGTTCATCCCCACTTTCAGGTGTCATCTGGCCATGTACTGATGTGGCTTACGCCAAGTAAACCGTCATTATTCTGACAGTTGTTACATGCATGTAGGTCATAATCATGTTGACTTTTTTGTTTGGACTGCTATTATACGCAATTCTGCCATTATAATGATGACAATTGAGATTCATCACAGCCAGCTTCCAAATCAGATAGTCGTTCACATGCTCGGGAATGCACTAGACTGCAGTTTCAGCTTGTTGGGCATCAGCAGTAGTGCGGATCTATCAGAATTCGAACCCATGACCACCAGCGGTTTGCACCGCCGGTCAGCAGCTTATGTCACTGGGGCACGGAGACAGCTTCAGACCGTCATGATTTACAAGCTAACTGTGATATAGCACGTCTTATCCTCCACTGCCATGCAAGTTACGAAGGTTGCAGAGGACAGGGTTGGTCCTGAAAGACACGGCGTCCACTAACAGTAGCTATGTACGACACAGCATATAAAAACTGTCAGGGCTATGATGAACCTCAATTATCAATAACGAAATCTCCTACTCGTGAGTACATCAAAATATCTCCGCCCTAACAGTTTCTATATGCTGTGTCGTAGATAGCTACTGTTAGTGGACGTCGTGTCTTTCGGGGCCAACCCTGTCCTCTGCAACCTTCGTAACTTGCATGGCAGTGGAGGATAAGACGTGCTATATCACAGTTAGCTTGTAAATCTTGACGGTCTAAAGCTGTCTCCTGTAGCCCAGTGGCATAAGCTGCTGACCGGCAGTGCAAGAGGCTAGTGGTCATGGTTCGAATCCTGATGGATGCGCACTACTGCTGATGCCCAACAGGCTGAAACTGCAGTCTAGTGCTTTTCCGGGCATGTAGACAACTATCTGATTTGGAAGCTGGCTGTGATGAATCTCAATTATCAATATCAAAATCCCCTACTCGTGAGTACATTATCAACTTGACGCTTTTTTGGCCTCTGCTCCATGCAATTATGTTATCATCATGTTGACGATGATCACCAGGAGCGGTAGTCATTTCCACCTCCGGTGCACGATAATACCACATGTTTTTCGGTCTTTCTTCATGCTAGCACGTAATTTTGCCCTAATAGCTTTGCGAGTGTCATGATGGCCCGCATGCGGAATGTGTATTCGAGCAAATAGAAACCCCATTGACTGCGTATAGGATGATTGTCCAGGTTGGCAATAAGCTTTACCGCACCAAGACATTCTTGCCACTATTGACGCCTAGTGAACCTACGATCACTGATCTTCAGCTGTATTCGTTAAGGTCTTATTCAGTTCGAATGCCTGCGACCTTGACGCTCATTTAGAATATTTGGCTTCGACAGTTGGCGTGTATCTGTGCACTAGCAATTTTGTTGCGGATATCCACCGAAACGCACTCCAAGGTCATCGGACTCAAGTGCGTGGTCGTCGTCCACACATGTGCCCCAAATCGAGCGACAGTTTCAGACGCAGCCTGTAACGATAGCTGATCGCGCGGTTATCGATTTACTTCCATGGGTGATCGCCGGCTGCTGGGTACCATCTCACACTTCTGCATATTTTATGTCGGAGTTAATGCTCGCGAGGTATAGAGAAGCAATTTTATATAACTTTTATACTTGATGTATCTTCGCGTGACGGTGCTATGATGCCCTTGGGGTCATCCCAGTTCACTGATATTTTGTCTTCCAGGCGCCCCAAATTAAGGTTAGTTGGTTTAAAGTGTTGCACTTTTGTTTGCGAATCTACTGGCCTTTGTTTCCACACTTTCTGTCTTTTAGGATCCTGCCTTGAGGTTTTCTTACTGGTCTCGCTATATCGCGCGTTTGCTGAGGTTTCGCGCTGTCTACCGTAAGGAGTTGCTTGGATGGCGATACGAGTCAGAGCAGTTATTTATGCGACC